GGATAGGAATTTCCCACCATCGGAGTTACAAGATTGTGGCACAACTACTGGCTGCCATCCTCATGGAGGTGAGATAGGGGATTTTAACCTAAAAGGAAAGATAATGAAGTAACACGAGTTTATTTTTCTTACTTTGCTGGCCTAATTATGTACTGTTTTTTTTTCTTTTTATGGTTGTTCCAGTGCTTTGCGTCGTTTATATATATTATGCACTTCGTCTTGCAATCGGACAAGGGAAACAGGGCAAGTGAAATATAATATGGACAAGCCTCGTGTTGGGATTCCTCTATCTCACGTTTTAGGGACTGAAAGTTTCTACACATAGAATATTTGTGATATTTATACTAGACAATATATCTTTGCATATTAGGAGTATTTAATAAATGAATTGAATTGGTTACTCTTACAAACATGCATATTGTATGATCTTAAAGCATTTCATTCATTATTCTTATTATCAACATCTAGATATATAATGTAACATTGTATAATTTTATAAATCAAATTTAGGATTGATATTGCCACTTAACTTAGTTGGGTCGCCATACTGTTTGAGCCTATTATAATAACGTTGTTTTATACCCAAGTAAAATGTTGTATAGATGTAGCAACGTTGATGTAAAAAAAAGACGTTTGTATTAAAAAAAGAATTTAAAAAAATAAGACATATAGACATATAAATATACAGTAGATCAAGTTTAGACCTACCTGTAAAAAAATCACCCAGAGACAGCAGATAAATTCCATATAACAATCACGGAGGTTGGATGAATATTATAACATGGTTTGTGTCAGCAGTACTTGGGTAGAGATAGTATCAACTGTTATCAAAATCTAATCTATTGTACAGCATATACAAGTGTGTTATGGAAACATGAATCACGTAATAAATACTATTTACAATATTACTCTGAGTACTTGTTGCAAATTTGGACCAGTAAAAACTAATGTAATTTTTTATCAGCGCAATATATTCGGCCACTACGCGGTATTACCAGGTATTGTAGTTGTATCTATTTAAGGATCGCTTATATCACATGTAGAAATAGTCAAACCGGTTCTAACCGGACAAATTATAGAAACCTCTAAGGTGAATACCCCCATTGTTAAGGTGTATTATTAGCAAATGTAAATTATAGTTCTTAACAAACAAGAAATCATTGAAATGTTTTAACTCTAATGAGATAAACATCTTTCTGAAGCACGAGTATCTTATTCAATCACATTGAGTATCCTTTAGTCTATAACACATTAGATTGCATCATATTTATAAACAGGGAAGCTAGTATACATCATTCTACTATTCATATATGTGTACATAATGTTTTTCACTAAGATAAATCACTCGATAAGTATATCAGAGGTGTGGTATGGTACCATTAAACTCACGGCTAGCCAATTTTATTGAATACAAACATAGTTTCAACGATTTGTAAATCAAAGAAGCTTCCATAACAAACCGTAGAAATTCCATAGCTTTCGTAGAATACCAGTGACAGGGCAGTAACTGGACATTGGACAATGTACTCCCGACACAGATACATTTCGCTCGATAAAAGCCTCTCAATGGGTCCAGTTACATCCCACTACCAAGAGGCTGATATCTAAGCATGCGATCGTCAACGTCCACAACAAAGATAAAAAGTGTTTCACGTGGTCAGTTCTAGCTGCATCACATTCAAAGAAATCACACCCTGAGAGTGTTTATGATTATGTGGATCACATATCAGAGCTGAATTTTACAGGTTTCATTTTTCCGCTGAAAACCATGGATGAACAAAAGTTTGAAATGCAAAAATCTGTTTCCATCTACGTTCTTGATTATGGGAATGGATCATTGTTCCCGGGTCACGTTACAAAACAAAGGTTGGAAAGACACGTATATTTACTGCTAATATCGGACGGACGGAAATCCCACTATTGTCGGATAAAAACGTCGACCGTCTACTGAGTGACCGATATTCACAGGAACATAGATATTACCATCGCGTCTATTGCTTGCAAGGATTCGCCAAAGCACGAATGATCAACAACCATATATCCTACTGCAGGGAGCATGGGATGAAGAAATAAAACTTCCAACAGAAGAAGACAAAAAGCAGTTCTTCAATGATGTAAGAAAACAATCAAAAGTGCCGTACATCATAAACGTCGACTTCGTATCTTTCCGAGTGCCTATACAGAAAAGAAAAGACTAAACACCTTTGCATACAAACTCGTAGTACTCCCTCAAGAAACATCAAAGGAATTGATCGTGTATACAGGTCTTGAAGTGACAAAAAATGTTGTAGAAGGTTTGTTACGAGAACAGGAAGAAACAGAAAATAGTTTAAAACACGTGAAGCCAAAGGTCTTGACTGAATTAGACTTTCAAAACGACAACAGATTGTCACATTTGTGGGAAGGAGTTAGGGGATGACAGTGTGAGAGACTTCTGCCACGTGACGGGTGTGTTTTGAGGTGCAGCTCACAACGACTGCAAACTCAATTGCTATTTGAGGGGTTATGACTCCCATCTCATCATGCAGGCCATGGGAAAAGTATCTGATAGAGAGATTAAGTGTATACCCAAAAACGTGGAGAAGTACATTTCTTACTCCATGGGCTGTATTGACTTTATTGATAGTTTCCAATTTATGGGGGCGTCATTAAAGGAAATGATCGCAAATTTATCCGAGGAAGGGGATTTGCACACATGACATAACATTTTGGCAAAGAGGCAGTCGAGCTCCTCCTAAAAATGCAAGTGTACCCTTACGACTACTTCGATGATCCCCATAGGTTTCAGGAAACTTGTACGAATATTCTGACATGTACGTCCAAACGTGAAAACTGGTGTCCAGGAAACGATTTTCGTAAAAGAAAACGGATGAAAGAGATGAACCTAAATCGGAAAGGTCAAAACAAACAGTATTACGTGAAATGGCTGCACTGGCCAAAGAAATTCAATTCTTGGATACGCGCTTCTGATGTAACCGTGGAGAGTGAACTACCTCAGAAAGATCCAATGTCAGGGTCCCGTGTTATGAGAAAGAGCTTACATATACACAGATTGTTATATTACTATAACAAGGATGGTAGAGGACTATCGTATAGTATTAACTTCTTATTTTGATTTATAAACTAGTGGAGGTAATGATTGTAAGGATGGTGAAGGATGGCTCAACGACCTTAATTCATTCCATTACAGGTTTACCTATTTCTACAAGTGATGCAATCGCTTTTTAAATAGATACAACCACGAAAAATTCAGAGACGTCACCAACGAGGTACCTATGATCATTGATCGATATCCCTCTGCCACAGGGGGTTGCCACGAGGGGGGTGCCAGGGAGATGGTAAGGATTATATAGGGGAGTGTACTGGATGGCCCAGAATCGGCACTTTTGTACTATTACTGCTGTACACTTGGTTTTGTAGGTAATTGAGCAGATCATATTTTCATAAACAGCATGGCCTCTTGTAGACAGGTTACACAGTTGTCTTTCAATCATAATGATAAAATAATGAAAAATTATTCAGTAGTTATATATTGCTATGAATCTTTTTGTCTCCAAACGACTCGGAAGTTACTCCAGAAGTTTACATGTTACTTACTTGTGAAGTAGCAAGCTATTTTCGGATTATTCATAGGTTAGTTGCTTATGTACTGTGGAGCAAACAGTGGATATATCTACGGAACTGTAGATATATAGTTTTAACAAAAAACTCAATTATGGCTGGGGGTTCGAAGCTCAGCCAGGATACTTATTATTTATAATTTTCATTTTAATTCAGTAATATTTTCCTCGAGTCTAATATTTTTTACTGTAAAAACTGGTGAATACAATATCAGTTACTGTACCAATATCTCCAACACACAGTTTTTTTTTTAGTTTGTTTCATCAGGACGATGATGGTGTGTCACTGGACCCCTTGGACCAATTTTAGGATATTTTGAAGACAAAATTATCATTAATATGATATCATTAAGAATTTATAATGAAATAAGCCAACATATATATATAAGTTGAAAATACGATGTAAATCACTAACTCTCTATATTGCAATTGAAATTTCACCTTGATTTGTGTAAATTAACTCGAATGATACATTATTGATTAAGAAGATTCCGACCTTTCAGCCACAGGCCAATTTTGCCTCTACAACTTGGAACTGATAACAGGACATTTCACACATGTGTTATAAAATGTATGTCATGCTGTTATTACATTTACATCGTTAACACACGACATAATAAACTCCTCCTCATTTGCCTCCTCTACCCCAGTCCGCGGTGTTGCAAGGCTATGTTTTGTATTATGTCATTGACAAATCAGACCATGCATTATGTCGTTTCTTCTGCAATATCTTGTTAGATGTCTCGTATTCATCCTGATAAGGATTAAATTGATTCAATTATGGATTTTGAAAAACTCTTTGGTTTCCTTAATTTTAACGAGATATTTGACGCATTTTCGTTACATGCATGACTATGTGTTTTTCTTGCACTTTTTAATATTTATGTTGGCAAATTACAAACATCCTAGTTGAAACAGCTCCGTATCTATCGTAAACACAAAGAATAACGATCATTCATTAATCGACTTCTTCCAGTCATACGAATGAATGTTTTCCTGTTATCAAGGAATAAGATATACTGGCATTGATGGACAAGATGATGGTGATGAATTGAAAACGGGTCTACAGCTTCTTGGTTGTATATTTATCACAAAGCATGCAGTGGATATATAGTTTAAATGTCTCTTCTATTTTAATATCCTATGTATTATGTATAGACTGTTTCCTTGTTTTATTGTGGAATGTTGAGTTAGACTATGACGCTTTAAACGGAACAACTTAACTGGCTATTTCCGTGTGTCATTGTAAAGTGTTAATCTTACTACGTGATGTTTTAAACGGAACAATACAACTTACTATTTCCTAGTTTTAATGTGTAGTGTTGAATTGCATGAGGATGTAAGTTGAGATTTTTGATAACTACAAATATTAATATTCTGCTATTGTTCATCGTATGTTAGCCTTTTTGCCTTAGTACTGGAATACAGCACCGTCCTGAAAGTAACAGAAACCACGTCCATTTTCACTTGATTGCTAGCTTCAACATCAGTCAGACTATAAACAACAATACAGACTCTGAGGCAATGGGAACATTTTACTATGATCGTTACACAAAAGAAAGACTTGATACACAACAGGAACGTTAGAATTGATAGTAAATGTTATAACAATGTTGGCCTGCGTTACATAAGGGCATACATGAAAAGGGACATCGCTATCTCCGACACGTTGACCAACAGCAACGTTCATTCGCCATTTACGATGTGCAGGGACATTCGGAGTAACATTTGACCTCTGCATCGCTGGAAAAAAGATGAGACGTTTCTGTTTAGCAATATATATATGATACCGGGTTAACATATATCTATTTCTATATGCCTTATTTCAAAAATGACAATACCAAAAAAGCATGCGGCTCTAAAACAAAGAGGATAAGACAGAACATAGAATGAAAGAAAAATGAATCAATCCTGAATCGTTAGAAGATATCGAACTGTAACAAATTCATTAAGCGTGTTATAAGCATTGGAATCAATTCTGCGGCACGCATGAGGTTTTTATATAATCTGCACATTTTAACACTTAACAAATTGAAAGCAACACATTGATTGGCTGTTCATTGTAATACATAACCGCTTTTTATTTGACAACCCGACAATTGCCATGCTTTGACGAGTGATTGACGATTGAACTCGATCAGAGATCTTGTGTAGAAGCACTTCAACAAGATAAACTTTTGTAGTTAAATTAAACTTATCTATAACAGTTAAATCTATCTGATACTAACTTGCAGCGGGCAAAGCAGTAGTTATAGTACGTTCGTCCATCACCACCACACACTGAGTCATTGTCCAACCAACAATGTGAACATGAGTTGGACTCTCCCACGGGCTGCACAGGCTGTACCGGCTGGAATGGAAGAAAGGGCTGGAAGAGGGAGAAGAACGGATCCACTGTGGGAGGCGGTACCGTGGTGCGAGGAGCCATGACATTTTTTTGATTCGTCTCGAATTCAGCAAGTTCTCGCTCACAAGGACACAGTCCGGCACAGTTCAATTCTACTTTCCTGTTGCAAAAAATACCAAATAAGTTTGTTTTTATAATAACGTTTTGCATTACGACGTTGATATTTTTTTTCTATCAATAATACCACTACAGATCAGTGCAATACGTATGGTCCGATTAATTTCGAAGCGATTTGTACGTAATTATAGATGAAGTTTAAGTGTTATTATCCGAGTGTTAACGGAATAGTATCCACAGGATTCCAATACATTTAGGACTATAACTAGTCAGTATAATCAGGACACAAACACAGTACTATGTCGATTGATTAAGCAATTGGAAAATTAAATATCTAAGGAAATATCAGGCCTAATTATAACTTGGTCAACGTTTGTTATATAAAGTATAAGGTTATTTATTTTAAATTATGTTTAGCCGGTTTATTCTTTCTATCGTGACCTTTACTCACGCGCAATTCCGTTCGCAGTCATTGTTGTAGACTTTGCTGTCCTTGCCACATACAGGACTGTAAGGCTGATTTTCACATGTACATGGTTCAGGTGTGGTGGTTGGAGGTGTTGTTGGAGCAGGAGTTGTTGGAGGTGGTGTTCGACAGGGGCACGGCCCAGCGCACTTTTCGATCTGGTTCCTACAGCCAAATAAAGATATATCACGTGACATTATCCAACATTGAGATATCAAAAATGTATGCAAATATTCCATTTTTACAATCTGTCAAAAAAAAATGAAAACAAAGTTTATTGATGGAGTTCATATGACATTTTAAATAATGACTTGAAAGCAGTTGCATAGTTCAATTCAACTCCAGTTGACCTTACTTTTGATAATGTGTATACAACCTCAAATGAAAATCATGTGATTCTTTATACCAACATTGGAACTTGTCAATGCTCAAGCTTGCACAATAGTCCATTAAAACATTAAAGTTTGATAAGCTTAAATGAACCACGGTTTCAATGTACTATTAAGAATATGATGACGAGGTCGGAATTTCTAATCGTTTGTACCAATTTGGAGATTGAGATTTAATTAAATTAATTTTTAGTGAATAGCAAATTCTACTTACGCACATCTGAGTTTGCAGTAGTTATCATAGGTATGTCCGCTCATACTACACACCGGTGCATAGGTAGGGCCACACCCACATGGGGGTGGTGGAGGGTTAGGGGGTGTGAAACATGGACAATATCCCGCACAAGCCTTAGTTACCATCCTGAAACCAAACAAGGTTTTACACGAATGTTTACATGTAAATCATCATAAAGATTTTTAATAATTTTTTTAAAATAAAGAAAGCTGTATTGAAATCCAGAAGACAATTAAAGATACACTCATTCTGGGGTTATTTGAATAATTTTATTTCACTAAAGAACACGAATCTCCAATACAAACTTTCAATTATGATAATTGTCACGGAAGTATTCATACCATATTATTCTTCGAATAAAAGTATTAATACAGATGTTCAAAAACAAGCAAATGACCAGTAAGAAAAACAAATAAAAATTATCTTATTTAGGAAATGATAATCACTAGTTTTCTCTAGAATCTTCATGTATTTAGATTCGAGGGAGTCATACATACTCTAGGTTCGGATTAAGATAGTTACAAAGAATCACAATTTTATCTCGTGTCATTCGTTAGGTGCTGAAGAAAAGGCGTTACCGATGTCTAAGTCTGGCAATAGGTTACCAAAACATGTTCGGTGACTAAAACAACTACCACCAGCACAATTCTATCATCTTCAAAGCTTATAGAGAGAATAACATCAATCGTAGGTGTTTATATATCACGTTAACAACTGCCACAGGCGATTTGGAATACTTTCAAAAGTTCATTATGACATTGGTCAAAAACAGGTAATAGCATGATATTCTATTTATCATATTACCATAAAAGAAGAACACATACAGCTTAATATAGATAACTAGTTCACACCACTTCTATTTGACAACGTGAAGAATGACGATTATGTTTTTCTCAGCACCAGACCATTCTACACTATAAAAACCTCACGCCCTAGGAGGAATTGGATGTATACAACACCTAAGATGTCAGTATATTATGTGACATTTAACACAAATACGAAATGGTACAACTTGTAACCGCCCGCATTTGACCCCAATTCTGTAACCTGCAAACGGAGGTCACTCATGATCGAGTGCATTTACACCTTTAATATCATAAGACAGGTCAGAAGAGAAACAATTTTACATTTCTGATGTGATTTATATTTCTAATCTTAACATTGTTTTTCATTAAAAAGGCATTATAATTGAAATGAAAATTAATGTAAGTGCCTTTCTGTCCTGTGCAATTTATTGCGTATAAAGTCAGAATGTCACAATTACAAGAACGAAAAGTATATATTAAAAGAAAATATCTTTTTTTTTTTTGTTCCTATATTGAAAACCACGCTGTTTTAATTACACTTCGATACTGTCTTCAACTGCTATCAGTGGTTCAGTTTTTTTTTTTTTTCTGTTTGTGTTTTTCCCCATTTATCCAAAAATGATTATATCTATGACAGTATTCAAATTGTAAAATATATTTTAAAAAGTGTTAGTCCGACCCATTAGACCTACCGTGGCATCTGGCATGTGCTATCATAGTTGTTTCCGTCAGAACCACAAAGTGGACTCCAGGTACAGTTCCTCACGGGAGCCGGCGCTGGCCAATTTGGCGCCACAAAACGAGGAGGAGGAGGAGGTCTTCTCCATGTCCTCGGTGGTGGCCTCCTCCGCCTGCCTGGAGGAGGTGGCATCGCTCTATTTGTAGGTTGTCCCATCGGCCGGCCCGGTGGTGGTGGCGGCGGTGGCTGCATGCGTCTTCTTAATGGAGTTCTACGAGGTGGTCCTGGGGGTCTCATATTTTGCGGAGGTGGTGGTCTTCTTCCCCTCTGGGGAGGGGCTGGTCCACTCCTACTTGGCGGTGCATATTGACTTTGTACAATTAAAATGCATCCTACAAACAGAAAATTCCTTGGGAACATGTTTTATTTGAATAGAATTTGGAAGGTGATAGACGTACATGGTGGGAGTGTTTTAGTAATATCTCATTGTTAGGAAAGAAATGTAGATATCGTCGCTACGTGAGTATCATCGTCATTTAAAAAAATCCTATCCAGTCAATAAAATATTCTCATACCTACTGGTGGAAATTTGTCCTTAAGAAAATTACGCGATACAAATTGAATATTTATTTTGCAAAATTCGACAGTGTAACCAATAATACAACAGCGATGTGATTCCTTCAAAAGTTGGAATTGTTTTATTTAAACAATACAAATAATGAGTTGATTCGACCTTCAGTTATCACCATGTCCCGAGTTAAAATTTACAAAGTATACAAATCACAGTGAATCTAGTTTCAGATCAGTGTTAATTAAGCGGATGTACTTTGTCGAGACAAGTGTGTTTAGGTTATGATTACGACTGACCCCGTCCTAACGCCGTACCTTAATGGTCAGTGTATAGCTACAAATGTAAGGTATTTTTACCGAGGTTTATTGCCTATGACCGCTATGATGAATGACGTCCATCGCTTACTACCAACACCGAAGACATAATTTCATTTTTTAGACAAAATGACGAATACGATAACAAACGTCGAATGTGAACGATATGGGGCGGTTATTTTGGTTCGTCATTTCCGCCCGGATACACCTACGGCAATTATCTGGACAGATTTATTTTACGGAATGTACAAATAGAGTCATATATCTATATATAGATATTCATCTCGACCTCTGTAGCTCTTAAAATTTATACATACACTTCAGTTAATGATTCACCATGAGTGATGTTTATATTTAATATTGAAAACTATTTCTTAGAGCTGCTGATGTTCAAAGGTTTATCATGGCGTCATCTTTAAGGACTTTTGACTGTCTTTATCTCTGCTCTACTCTTAATTGTATGTATATCTTGCACGAACACTCGTCAGTGCTATATTTAAAAGCAAATGGAATCGATAGTGCGAATGAGATAAATACAAGTCCCACGAACGATGTGCAATGTCGCGCAAACAAGAAACAGTGTCGTGTGAAAGATAGGATCACAAAGCATGACTCTATCACGCTTCGTTGGTAAGACTTATCAAGGACTGGAATTCGTTTTCTTTGTGAAACAAAAAAGTTAAACTCTCACAAATCTCAGATGGAAACCATCACAGGAAAAGATAAGTCTATGCATGTCAGTTTTCAAGGTGACTTTGTCTTATACAATATAGCAACGTATCATTTCATTGCTTTTTATCAGTGAATTTCACACACACAAAAAAACAACGTTGAAATGAAGCGTTTTAACAGAATGGGCCATGAACTATCATGTTTAAGACACTCCAAAATGCATTACGTCACTCCTCTTCACGTCTGGTGATCTAATCTATAACAAAAACCTCAAGGATCACATATACCTGAAGAATACCTTAAATATAGACTTTAGATAATATTTTTTTCTTGCCACCTAATTACAACTATCCGTAGATATTTGTTGAGAGACTCTGATCTGCTCTCCTAATTCCACATTATTACGCACGAACATGTGCACGCACGTGTACTGACTCAGTATTGTATTGAACACGTCTCATTCATTGCAGGAAATTGTGTGAGTGTTTTAGAGGAAACAATATTTTGTTGCAGTATATAAAATTACAACGAAATTACATACACAGGAATGAGTCTTAGTCAACGACACAGGAATGAATCTACGGCACAGGAATTATTCTGAGTCTACGACACAGGAATGATTCTGAGTCTACGACACAGGAATGAATCTGAGTCTACGACACAGGAATGATTCTGAGTCTACGACACAGGAATGATTCTGAGTCTACGACACAGGAATGATTCTGAGTCTACGACGCAGAAATAAATGAGTCTACGACACAGGAATGATTCTGAGTCTACGACGCAGAAATAAATCTGAGTCTACGATACAGGAATGAGACTTTGCCTATGTTTAGACTTATTCCAATAATCGATTACTGTACGTATCTATACAAATGATAATTGTACATTTTGTATTTAGTGACACAGAATATGTTATTTCGTTAAGCTTCAGTTATAAGTACAGGAACAGCTCTTAATAGCAATCCGTTAAAATATACAAAATATTATTTTCTTTTAATCAAACTTTGTTTTTCTTTTTTTTCTCGAATATTTGTTTTAGAAGTATTTTAGATAATTAATTGGTTAATTTTTATGTAATTACACGATATTAAATAACTTCCATTTTATATTAGAATTTGTTAAACAAGTATCAGTAGGCACACAAAAATAAGAACTCCGGGAAGAGTGTCATAAAATCTCAGATGAAATGAAAACAAATCTAGGACACTTTTATTACATAACCCAAGAAAATATATTCTGACAGGGTTTAAAGTAAAATTGTGGAGACATCCTTTTTGTTGCGCCGTATTTTAATCCACGACTTAACTTCATAATCATATTATGATATCAATTTCTATTCTTTTCGAGCATAGTAAGCTGTGATTATTATAAATAAATTCATCTCCCTAAAATCAATTAATTTATAGACTGACATTTATTGCCATTCAAAAACGTTTAAGTGCAAGGGAACAAAGAACACTGCAAACAATGAAAAAATAACATGAGACCCATTGAAGAGAACAGGACTGAGATCATATTTTAAAGGTGACATCTTGTTATTTTGTAAGTTAGAGATTGACAAGTAAAAACGAAAGATAAATCATAAATCGCAAAAGTCGAATTATATATCATATCAAGCATGATAGTTGGAACAAAGTTTATGGCATCGCACGCGCTTCAAACATTATGAAATGCAAACACTGTGGACAGGACAAGTTCGGCGACTAAAACCAAAAAAACTGAAAGTTAATCCGAAGACAACAAAAACTATCACAACAATTCAGTATTAGCAGACCATTAAACCATTAACACTCTGTCTATGGTCGTCATCAGATATTTTTACACTGTATAAGTATTGATAGGTTTTATAAATTACCATTTACTTTACTAATTCAACTTCTAAGTAATTCAAACAAAATTGTGAATACTTAACTCCTTAGTCACAAGATTGCTTATAACTTTCATATCATGTTTTCAACGAATAAAAGTTATCATAAGTTTTTCCATTAAGTAATTTAATATATTAGTAATAATGAATGTTTGAGATAGGAAGAGTTGAATAAGTTAGGTTTCAAACATTTGGAAATTATTGAAATTTTCATTCCTTATTTGAAGCAGTTTTCAGCAGAGACATCTAGTAGTGTTTCAAGATTTTTTTTTTTATTGCACGAACACCTTTCATAATTACTTCGAATAATATTAAGTATATATACAAGAAGCAATACCAGGAAACAGTCTTAAGACTTTTGTAGTTTTGATACAATTGTACGAGTAGTATGGAGTTATTAGGTAACTTTGCTTGTTCCATCACAAAAAAAGTATGTGAAAATCTCTTTTAACCCAGCTAAAGGTCTAATAACCATGAAAGGCAGCATTTGACCATAGCAACTGTCTATTCTTTTCTTTTCACTTTAAATTGCGATTGTTACATTTCAAAATAGTAATCAGTTTCACAAATTCCAAAAAAAGATAAAAAAAATCTTTTTAAATCCTTGTTTAACAATGATATTTTTGGAGAAAACGTACCTATCAAAAACCGTTACTTACCCAACAAGAACAGCAAAACAGTGATATCTTTCATTTTTATAATAACTGACCGCTGGATTCCAATTTAACGCCTTCAGCACTCCAAACGCGTGTACGCAGTTAGCTAGTGCGGTGGGAGGCAGTCTACTGCGAAGTGCCCAGGACCGTCCTTTTGTACGAGGCGTCATAGGTCATGCATCAAGTAGGACGTTACCTTTACCTCCCGTCAGACTACAAGTATTTTGCTGTCATTTATTTAGAAATGTTCACGTTTATTAAAGCGATCTCATTGTTTTAGATTATTATATTTTCTGACGATTTGATATACTCCGTGTTTCAATTACATATATACCGTAATAAGACACCACGTGCTTGTTGAAACAGCGAATCAAAGCTTATGTTTGTTATTATAATCAATTACCTGTTGGTGATAGATGACGATTTCTATCGGATATTACAATTATACCTATTTTATACACTTGATTTGGTCAAGGAATCAGCCATCCTGAACGTTACATGTTACATGTACACCTGTCTTTTTCTCAATACAATTACTGTCTCACTAAAGGGCCAGTTCCTGTAATCAGAGGAATTTTCAACAGTCTACAAACTAATTGAAATACATTTCAGCTTCGTCACCACATCGTGATTTACATCGATGTTATAAAACAAATCATTGCATCATGAAACGCATAACTTACAGTTCCTGAATAGGAAGTATTATGACCAGTACCACATGTGGTGCTCGAGCTCATTCTTCCGGAAACATATATCTCGAATCGGATTAATTGTGGTTCCTAACGACATATTGGGTGATGATGTACGTCGTATTTAAGCCGCTCAACCTTATTTATTTTTATTATTTTTTTCCCAGTGCCCTCTTGCTCTCTTAGGATATACGGCTTACTGTATGTTATAATGGATTAGGTAATCAGTTCATCACTTGGTATCTAATCAACATCTCTCAAAGAGATAATGCATGATACGGATAAACATTTCATTATTGACGATCTGTCTGAGTCTACTTGCCTACATTCGGTAAGTTCACCACCGGTAGAAGCACTAGGTTAGAATATAGATGATACAGATTCTAACATATGCATGTTTAAATATCATCGTAAATTAAGTAACATCGTGTTTTGTCTAAATGATCATGTATAAAGAGGCAACGTATGATAGAAAAAATATTATTTTTATTTCAGTTTAGCAACAGAGATAAGTACAACAATGTC